CAACACTCTCCACCCCTCTTAATTGCAACTCTCAACTCTAGTGCAAATCCTTGACTATTCAGCACCTTGGGACATCCTCACAACATGAAAGGCACTATATGTATGCAAGTTGTTGTTGTTGTTGTTAAACCCATATGGTTCTTGTTTAATGGTAGACATCTAGTCTGTAACCATTTCTCATTTCTATCCTAGTTTAGAGTAAGAGTCTACTACCTAAACAGCATTTCATTTCGACACGGTTGGGCTCAAAGTGTATTTAAATTATAATCTAGGCCAAAAGAAAAGTACGGCCGCACTTTTTCGGCGGTGTCTGCTTCAAACAACAGACCTGTACAAACAATGTGTTGGCTCCGAGACTCTTGCGCTGCTTGCTCGACGCTAGTATTTTATTATTTTAAACATAACTACATGTTCATGAAATATATACCTATGGTTTTAATCTGTGTTGTCTCACAATATGCATCTCTCAATAACACCAATCAACCGTCTGCAATTTTCTGCAAAATTTGTCAAATTCTTTGCAATTTTTGGCAAATATTACCACATGTTTAATAATAATAATCCTTGCATTTGATATAGCACCTTATCAGGTATTCGAGACGTCTCAAAGCATTTCATAGAATACACTGTAAAGTGAACTGATTGTATATTTTGTGGGCAAATCTTTTCTATTGGCCTGGGTTATAATCCAAGTTGACAGCAACTCAGCAACCTTTCCTCACCTGGATGGCATTCTGAACTCGCCTGGTGACGCTGTTACAATTGCTGAAACCTCATTTGCTAAGATTTCTACCTTCTATCTTATGGAAAAAAAACCACCAGTGCTGAACTTATGAGCCATTTCTGTCCTGCAACATTCCATAATTCTATATCTACCATTTTTGGTAGAAGCTTCCACTTTTGCCTCTTGTCTCACCTTTAAAGTAAACCTTGAGACCTATCCGTTTGACCACACTTTAGTCAAAAAGAGCTACAGAAATGTAAATTGCTTGGTTTTATAATTATGTAACATTGCAAGAATATGCTGCTCCTTGTATCATTAACAGAATTATTTTACTGTTGCATTTCCCCTTCCTTCATGTGCAGGAACCAACATTGACGTCACTTCACAAAGGAAGACATCAGTGGATGTTGTCCGTTTTTCTGCATCTCATTTATAACTCGATTGGTGAAACAATGGATCCAGCCTTCTGCATTATAACAAAGTTTCCCTGTAGTAGATTGGCTTATTAGCAAGATTATTCACCTCCCACATGAAAACTAACACCATTTTATAGCGTCAGCAAAGCCAGGAAGGGTGCCAAATGTAAGCACGCTACACAAGCCATTTAGAGGACAAGTGGAGGTGAAGGATGATAATTATAGTGCGGTAGTAAATGAGCAGAGGAAAAAAAAACTGGTGCTTTGGCATCTGTTTTATCTTACCAAACCTCTCACGGAGAATCACAGTAAGAAATATAATGATGCTGCTAGGAAAATTTGGGATACAATAGGTTAATTCAGAGTGGCAGAATAGAAAATGCATCTGTCAGCGGGTATCAAATTACAAGGTTTACTCTGGATGGTTAGAGAAAAGAGCCTGCAGCACTGCACAGATTACGTGTCTATGTGGTGGTGGTTGGGGAGGAAGGAAGAGAATCTGACAGAAGATGAATCACAACATAAAATGCCATAAAATTCGAATGTGAAATTGGCCATTTTAATGAATATATTGTACTTATGATATCAAAATTTAAACGGTTTCTGAAAACATGCAATTCTGTCTCATTTTATCACTAGCTTTTTCATTAATTGCTGCAGACCAGCGTTTCCTGGCAACAGCTGCCACTGCATTTTTGGCTCTGATTCAACATTTTCTTCTTGAAAAATGGCATCACGGCTGCCTCTGCTGCTGCTAGATTGGCTAAATAAGTGCTCTAATAATGCAGTTTACTCAATCACATGATATAGCAACAAGCATCAAGAATGTAGCTGCCACGCAGCATAAATCATTTGCCTAAAGCAGTTTATTCTGTAAACTGATTTTGAAGATTAAAAACCATGGGATTGCGTTCATTTACTGATAAGACAAAATATTAAACCATTCAGGAGGCAATAATATTTGCCTTGTTATTGAAAAATGTACATCTTAATATGCTTTGATACTGAAAAAATAAATCTAAGATTAAAAACAGTTGTGCTGGTGTTAAGTGGCAGATTAAAGAGGAAAATTATCTCCCTTATTACAGCACAATTAGTACAATGAAAACATGTTTCATTTCATATATTTTAAATTAATTTATCCCAAATTGTATTAAACAGAAATTGAGTCACCTAGAGATTTTTCTCCCTAAATGGTTGTAGCCAAAATGCTTCATTGGGTGGCATAAAATAAGGCTGCCAGTGTAGATACAACAGGCTGGAGTATATATATTTGACAGTTCTCAAGTGCCAATCTTTTTTCCTTGACACCAAGATCGATGAAGGTTGTCCAGACCACAGCAGTGAGCATTAACAGGCTCCAGGCTGAAGGAAACATTAGCAATGTGGCCGTCTCGCTGAAAGAAACTGCAACATTATTTTCAATGGACTCACTGACTGTATAATCAATTTCCACACTTAACACCAGCTGCTCTATTTTCAATGAAAACAGTGATCAAGTGACTGTGCTGCAGCAGAGGAATATAACAGCATACAATCAACTAGAAGAGCTTCACAACGATAACTGTGAATGTTTTGTATTTGCCAGACATGTCAGAGGTCTCCATCTTTAGATCATACTAAGATACATTCATGACACACAAGATCATATTGTTCTCCATGACTGCACTTTACATTATTGTGCTAGAGTAGCTTCAGACAGCCTGTGTTATCGTGGCTTTAGACAGCCTGACATCATCTGGCACAGCCTTGCAAATCACAGGACTTGAAACTGATATTGCCAAGATGCACATTGAAAAGATTATTAGCAAAAGGTGCCCAGAAAGGAAAGAACCAGAGAATACTATGTCAGATTTCACAGTACTTTCACATCAAGCCACTGCAATGGAGAAGTAAATTACTGAAAAATGTCACTTCATATACTGTTTGATGTTTCATAGCAATGCAACCTTTTTCCAGATTTCTGGTATTAACCATCCAAATGCCAACATTTTAGTTTCAACAATTATGCTCAATTGTTTATGCCATTCCTGAGTTTTCATTTTGCACTCAGAACTTTGAATAATGGACTCATTTTTACATTTGACTTGGACTGTCCAATAACATAACAGGGTCAAACTAACATGGTCAGTCTCCTGTCCTAGCTTAAAACACAAGTTTTAGTTCACAGCCAATTATAAGGTCCCAGACCGATTTAAAACTGGAGGACGCAGAAAATACAACAAGTAGAACTTTCACTTTAAACTTCAAGTTACTTCATGTCCCCTGTCCTATTCACCCCATCACCTCTGAAAGTGAGCAAGCTTTCAGGCATTTTGTCCCACCCTCTCAAACTCCATCTCCAGCCTATTTAATGTATTCTTTCAGAATATCAACTTGACTGTGTTCTAATCTAATTAATGTGTTCTTAAATAAGTCTAACGTCCTGGTTTCAACTATTCTTCCTGGTAACCAGTTGCATATGTTGATTATCCTCTGTGTAAAGAAATATTTCTTCCTATTGGTTCTAAAACTGTCCTTCACAATGCTAAGATCAGGCAATAGTTTCCACTGTTGCCAACTAAAAATATACTTTTAGAACTGGGTCAAAATTATTTGTAAACTTGATTAGGAAGATGATGTCTTTTAATTTGTAATATTAGCACAAAAAATAGCTAATTCCACTTGTATGCTGACTTTATTAAAAGGAGATCAATATCCAAATGGATATCTAGAGGGTTTGACCTATGACAAATCTCACATTAATCAGCAGATATTTCAAACTGCTTCAAGACCCTTCAATCTGTAACTGGTGAGTCATCTTTAGTTGACACCCCCACTCCACTACATCATTCTGTATATATTCTCAAAAGACACCCACATGCATACTAATTGTAGATATGTGGGCAACCAGTCTCTCACCAATACTGCAAAAAAATCTGTGGCAACACTACAATAGCAACGAAACTGCTATTAATACACCTACTCATAAACATTTGCATTCTCAACAAACACATTTGTTAGACAGAACGTTCTGCCAAGGTCAAGAATATCTTTACCTATAACATTTGTGGAATAGCTATTCGTCTAATTGTATTTTTAAAAGCATACAAGTGAATTCCCCCATGAAAAACATGTTGGGGGGCAATAGTGATCATTTCAGTAAAATCAACACTGCCACCAAGGGAGCTTTACATTGCTCTGCAATTTCAAAACAGTCTCAAAGATCCAATCTTCATGGATCAATTTTGTATCTTTTCAGAAATTCATTTATTGTTAAAAAAAAGATTTTTTTCCTGTACTAATACTTTGAATTCTTTAACGAGCAAAGCAAACCTACTGAAACACCAGAATTTGGGGGGGAGGAGGGGCGTTCAATTAAGTGGTTAGGTACCGTTGACTCTCAAACAACTTCATACCTTAAATAGTTCAAAATGCTTCACACGTAATTGTCAGGTGCAGCCATTTTTTGTAGGCAAACACAGCAACCATTTGCTCAAGCAACTATCACAAACAGCCATGAGGTAAATATGAAGGATTGTTAACCAGGATACCGGGACGAACTCCCTTCTCTCTTTAAATAGTGTTACGAGATCTTTAACATCCACCTGAACAATCAGGTGGTTCAACATTTAAAAGGTAGCACTCCCCCATTACTACACTGGAGTGTTAGAATGGACAACCATCCCAAGTCGCAATCTGGGGCTTCAATCCACCGGCCTCAAAACTTTCTGATGTCAACTATACCAAACTGACAATTTAGAAATACAGGAACCAAACTGACAATTTAGAAATACAGGAACGGAAGTAAGCCATTCAGCTAATCAAGCCTATTTCACCATTTTATTTGATCATTTCAGCTTTGTACAAAGGATACTTACTGCAATGTAATAAACTTTGGCCTTTTCCACCAACTGCCAATTTTCCTTCTTGTCCAGATGCTGGTCCTTTTTGTAACAATTTGCAGCTGCCAGATTAGCGACAAGGGACCTAAAATAGGCAAATTAAGTTAGTTACAAACTTACTTAACGTATCTAGTACCAAATCGGAATTTGACAGCCTTGCAAAACAAAATGACATGTTTTTAAAAAGGAGAATATTGGATTGCAGTATTGAGTCACCAATGTTGCAGATATTATCCAGTTGATGAGCAAAACAGTGAAAAATAAGGCTTGCTCTTAAGAAAAACTAATTGTTAACATGACAAACTGAATTTTAAATTTTAAATTTATCCTTTCTCCCCTCTCCTCTAGATAGCAAATCTTACAGTAATACAGTTTCACAGGTATTAACAGCCCACCCCGCGCATTTGCAAGCCAAGACTATGGGAGTCAATTTAGCAATACAAGCAATATTCAGTATATTGAATGTTCCCTGGAAATGCTGGAGGTTGACTATTTTCACCAAATCTAATCTCAGTGATGGCATCCTTGAAGCTGGATATGTATCACAAGATTCCAGCTTGAAGCATTCAACTGCCTGATAGCGCAAAACAGAATACTCAAGTTTTTTTGTTCAGCAAAAAGTTGGTTACCAAAATTGATCAAGTGTGAGTGTCGCAATTCCTAAGTGCAGAACAATTAATCTGATTTCCTCACATTTTTCCTCAATATTCCTCATTTCCAAATTTGTTTAGCTATGCAAAGGTTTACTTACTGTAATGTAATAAACTTTTGGCTGACCCGACCTCTTAGAGATGGCTATTGAGAATCAAGTTGGGGGGGAAGGAAAGGGAAAGCTATCTCCATCACATTCAGGGGACATCTACAGGATAAATATCTTGTGTATCCCAAAATTGAATCTGTGAGTTTTGACTGTGGGACCCTTACAGCTTGATCCTATTTTCACTTAACATCCACACATGATCTTTCCAAAAGGGTTCACTACATAGCAACAAGAACAAATTAGATTTGTAAAGTGCCTTTCATGTCAGAAGGAAATCCCAAGGCCCTGGAAAGCAATCAGGAATAGGAATTCTGTTATTTCTCCCACAGATTGATCAATTTCAACCAATGGTGAAAATACTTCATATTTGTATCACTTAATAATGTTAATTGCTCCAAGATGCTACCCCTCGTGTAGGGCACTATATAAAGGCAAGTTGTTGTTGAAATATTTTATAAAAGCTAGAAATATTTGCTAAAGTAAGATAACATACAAATAATATTAATCTGTTCTTCACAAATTGATTAAATTCTACTGTTACTTTGAATAAAATAGTTACCACCATTGTTGGCTCGACATCTTACAGTGGTGTTCATACAAAAAACTACTTCCCCTAGAAAGCAGGGGGAAATTCTCTCCTGGATAAGAAAACAGGAAAGATGTCATGCTTCAGATAGTTGACGTAGGCTTTTCATTTTCTCCTATTTTACTGTAAATTACAATGAACGTTTGGAGAGTGGGAAGTTCCTTTGGAGAGAATAGAATAGAATAGAATAGAATAGAATAGAATAGAATAGAAAGCCATTCTGCTGCTTCGTATGTTGATCTCAAAATAATTTCAGATTCAAGATGTAGGAAGAGAGAGAGAGAGATGGGTGACAGAAGGGATTGGTGGGAGAGAGAGAGAGGGAGGGAATGAGAGAGACAGGAGAGGGAAGAAGAAATCCATAAGAGAGGGAGGGAAATAGAGGAGAGGTGAGAGAAGATTGACTCACACTTAGGATTTCCACTGCTGATCACTACCCAGTGTCTCATGTGCTTGTATGAATGCTAGATGGGGATAGAATGTGCGTAACTCTGTGGTGATACCACAGTTGAATAGCATGTCACTACTCAAATGTGATGTCAGGTTCAATTTGAGGAATGGCATTTGTGAAGCTATCAGGGAATCTTCACTACATGAGGAAATGCAGCCCATAATAGATCGGCACTCTCAAGGCAGGGGTGGGTAAAAGTGGACATAGCAAATAAACCTGGAGGCAAAAGCTAATGTCATATTGGCTTATATTGTGATTAGGGAGGAGATATAGGGCTGAAATACTAATAATATATGGTAGCACAAAATGCTAAATTAAGGTTGGCTATTAATTATTAATTGCAAAAAGAGCCTGCATTAATCATTATTCTCCAAATTATATGAAAATATTCAGAAGTTTCATTATTTAATTAAAGAGTGGTAAGGCAAGGAAGGGTTCAATCCTCCCTTACCCACCAAGGAAAAATAAAAAGTTAGTCACTCAAAAGCCAGTATTCTAACCTTAAACCAACTTTCTTCAAAGTAGTGGCTGACCTGTTGTCCTTAGTGATGCAGGCAGCACATGTGCCTGTTGGCTGTTCATCCTGTTCATAGTAATAGGCATCAACATGGCCTTCCTCCGCTTTCTTCTTCAAAATTTCACCAAATTTATCTTTTCCAATACACCCAAAGAAAGTGGCTACTTTATGAGGCTTCTGAATCATCCACTGCAAATAAGAAGAAAACAATCAGAAATTTCTTGTACAATATAATTCTCAGGCATCTTATAATTTTGTTTTTCGTAAAATACAGTACAATATAACAACTATATTTTGACAAATATATGGTATCCTATTAGCTGAATTTTACCAACAGCAACTAGACATTTATCGAGTCAGACAACGGTGCACTTCAGCAGAAATTCTAATAGGGTGAGAAGCACATTAAGCAGCGAATCACCGTGGATTAAATAATCCATTTTACGCAGACAATGAACACTTAATCAATAATGTATTACTCAGACAATTTAGCTTTGCTTTCCCATAGGCACAATGTTCATCCTTATATCAATTAAAGTGAGCTAGTGCTATGGAAATGTTGTCCAGCTTCTTTGTTTCATGACTTCCTTTTGAATAATTATACCAACACTTTATGCAATGATCTTTGAGTTTTCATTATAAACATTAGACCAAAAAGGAATAAGACAATCATGTATGGAATGAAATGAGCAGGAACGACACATGCTTCACTTTGCTTAACAGACTATTAAAAATATAAAATGTTCACTCTCCATCAACCTGATAGATAACTTTACCAGAGCAGGTTTTATCAAAAATTCTAGGATTAGTATCTAAGAAGCATAAAAATCCACTGAAATTACAGTTGAATTATAATTTCCTAGCTCAGTAGTGGTTCGTGATTGGGTAGCCAGTGAATAAAAGTTGTATGGGGGATGCAGGCAGGAGACTGCCCCCAGTCTGCCCCTCCAAGTCTAACTGATGAGACAAAATTTCCATTCTTAAGATGCAACTGACAAGAGCAATTCCATGCACCAAATTAAGAGACAAAAGACAAAACCCAATTTGGCGGGTATTCAGGAGGAGATTTGGTCCGATGGCCTTCTTTACCCAAACTGATCATGAGATTGCTTTGTTTGTTGGCCAGCCAGGGGTCTGACACGTGCAGAAATCCATCGCCATGCTTCAGAATTTGGAATGGAATGTTCACTCTCTCCCTGGAGGTTCACACCTTAATACAGACAGTATTAGGCACATGTTAGCAAGAGCCAAGGTTTGGGAACCCCAGAGTGTGCGTTGAGGTGCCTCTGGAATTGAACCAGTGAAAACCACACAGCTTGCCATCGAAAGCATTATATGTCAAGTTTCCCACTGCTTGTTCTGGAAGGAGCACCCTATCCAATAAGGCTTTAGTGTACAAACTGATCATGAGATTGCTTTGTTTGGCCAGCCAAACAGTGTGGAGTCCTGTAGCTCAGTGGTTAGAGCACTCGCTTTGCAAGCGAGAGACCTGAGTTCAATTCCAGGCACAGGGCGAAACCTTGGGCAAGTTTCCTTACTCCACACGCCTAATAATAATCCCTCCAAAACCAAAAACAATAATAAATTGGTCATTTTCAATCCACGACTGTTTGTGGGACATTGCTGTGCGCAATTGGCTGCCGCGTTCGCCCACAAATATACAGTCAATTCACTTTACAGTGTGTTCTGTGAAGCGCTTTGGGACGTCCTCCCGATGTGAAAAGCGCTATATCAAATGCAAGGATTATTATTATATTATTATTACAAGGTTAACAGAAGCTGAGTGGGAAGCCTACCCCCAGTCTACCCCTCCAAGTCTAACTACTGAGCCAATATGGGAAAATGTAGGCTTTGAGAATCTATATTTTTAGAATCTTTGTACTACCAATTAGGGACTCCCAAAGCCTTTATAACATATACAATGTTCTTGGTTAAGCAACTCAATAAAATGGTTTTAAGGCTTGAGCATCACCTGTGAGAGTATATAACACACTATAAAATTGCTTTGTCTACATTTAAGTCAGGAAATAATGAACCCAAAGCCGATATGTACAATAGAGGTTGCTTTGACTTATGGTGAAGCAGAATGTTAATATAATAATAATAATCCTTGCAATTGATATAGCGCTTTTTACGTCTTAAAATCTGATAATAAAATAGTGCCCATGCCTTTGTATTCCTTATCATCAGAAGATAACCAGAGACCTAAAGTCTACAATCAACAAGTCTTTTGCAGAATGTAACCTAATAGCAACATTCTTTGCAGATGAACCAAGAATTTTGTAACATTGTGATAACTAGTCACAGTGTACATATGGGGATCATAGAAACTAGCAATAAATGTTACTCTGTTCACCGGCAAGTCAATTTAAAGCAAATCAATCTTGAATGCAATTTATTCTATTTGTTATGGAACGAACTGTAAAAAATGGATGTTAGATAACGATTTTAGTTGCAACCAAGGTTTATTGGTCAGAAAATCTTATCGATTCCCAGAAGGAATGAATTTACAATTATATACTGGCCACTTAGAGAATAAAAACTAACATGTTATTTATTCCACAGTAATTTTTTCAGCCACAACCACACTGTTTCCCGTCAACAAATTTTAAAAAATTTAACTCAGCATTTCGACGAGGAACTGAAAGATGAATTTAAAACCAAACTGCAATTAATACAAGTCAAAAATAATGCTACTGGATGAACTAGATTTAATGTGACTATTTTTTTAACTCTTTACATGATAGAATGAATTATACTTTAACCCCCAGTTGTTATAATGTTGCAGCATTGTGCAAAAAAATCAGTGTAAATAAATAAAACAGTATAAAATCAATTCCACAAGCTTGGAGTTACAAATGAAACAGCCAAGTATGGCTCCTGTCAAATGTCTTTCATTCAGTAATAGGGTCAAAAGAATGTTTTACTAATGTAAGCTGTTTAATAAAAGAAACTGCATTTTTCTGTGCTGTAATTTCAATGATGGACTGTTCAAAGGAAATGCTGCCAAATATTTATTACCTGAATGAATACTACCGTATTTAAAAGGCTGACTGAAAATTAAAGCATAGCAAAATACTTCGCAATAATTTAAAATCAATCATAATCATAACATACTGTTGGTATTTTGGACTAAATGTGCTTCCTGTGAAACCACATCAAACAAGTTGATGTCTGCAAATTTTGTAGCCTAACCTCCAAACACAATGAGCTTCTAAACTCAACCAGAGCACCAGAGGTAAGAGACAGACAGAAAAAAGTAGTTTCCAAATATTTAGTTTCACTTGTTAAATTTACTTTTTGTGTTGCTAATCCTAAAAGATTTTATTCAACAAATAGAACTCTCAGTCTGCTTTGGATACTCTTAACCATGATGATAGTTTCTGCACAGGTCAGCCATCCAGCTGACCAAAGAAAAACAGAAGGCATCATTCATTTATTTAATGCAATATTCAAATAATAAAGACAATAATTTGAATAAGTTTTTTTACATATTTCAAATCCATTTGGAATCTCAAATTACATAATAATAATGCTTATAATGGTGTGTGAGGACAGCTCAAAGTGCTTCATAGAATTTACTCCAAAATGTAGTTACTCTGTGCTTTTTTAGGTGAACCCACAGCCCTATTGCATACGGCAATGTCCCAAAAACGGTGAATGATTGATTTTATTTGGGGAATTGTTGGCCTGGACAATGAGAGAAACTCCTTTCTCCTCTTGAATAGTGCCATGGGATCTTTAACATTCACCTGAACAGGCACCTGAGAGTTTAAACCTTGGTTTAAACTCTCATGTGAAGGACGACACCTCCAACAATGCAGCATTGCAACAGAGTGTCAGCTCAGACCAGGGGCCTCCAACTAGTCATTCACTGCTAACTGGCCCTCTCGCACATATTCAAAAGACAAGAGGAAGGGACGGAAGAACTGCATAGCTATTTAGTCCAATTGAAAACAAAGCATGAAGTATTTGATCCATCTCGAAATAAAAATATAAACGTTATTGTTTAAACTGTAGTAAATATTGCTCCTTCCTCTTGTCTTTATTGAACATGCGAGACAGGACACCTAGCAGCGATCAACTGGATGGAGACCTCTAGCTAAGATTTTATGAGTTCCAAGGTCCAATGAAAGGCATTCCCAACAATGATTACTGGTTTCAGGTTTTGAATAGCTGAGCTGCTAAGTACTTTTGGTCAAATATTTGCTTAGCCAAAAAGCTACGTTTAAATGGCTTTCCAAAACCCAAATGTCATCCTGAAGTTAACAATGTCCTTGACAATGCACCAAACATAACACTTAATATTCTTAAGAATTTTAATACACACATACACAAACAACCCGCAAGACAAAGTATAGATTTAAGGATATATAATAAAATGAACATGGAATTATACATTTTAAAAGGTTTTTTTATCTCAAGGAACCAACTAGTTACATAAACAGTATGTTCTGATCCGATTCAAGACAAGAAAGTTACACCCAGTTCATAGTACTGATTTGGTCTGGTTAAGCATCAGATGGAATCATTCCCCAAAAGTTTTTCAGTGGAGGCTGAAATCTGGAGAAATAGAAAATAATTTCCTGCAGGTTGAACCAAAAGTGAATCTTAATTTTATACATTAAATTCAAACACTGTAACGAATGCAGCTTAACCCACAAACAACTATACAATTCTTTTGTACAATTAGTAAATTCACAACTACAGATGAGAAATACCCATTGTCAAAACAATTATAGTGATCAAGGTTAAAGTTAATGCCTCACCAAAGTGACATCCCACTGCATAAAGGCATTAAGTGTAGAAAATTATCAACCAGAAGCAGCATTACAATAATTTGGCTTGTTGGTGTTGTGGAATTCAACCAATTTACATTAGGTGGCAAACAATCCTGTTGCAAATTTAGAATTCATTTGGTCGCTGTCAGACTTTCCCAATCTCCAAGGAAGGTCAATATCAGCCAGGAAAGCAAAACCCACAACAAGAAATGGCGGCTAGCATAAAACAGTGCTTATATTGCCACTTTGAAAGACAAAAAGGAAATAAAAACATTTGGCTCCACATCTCAACAGGGAGCAGCATCAACTCTGAGGCAGGTCTGTCACTCTTATCAGTGTTCCAAAGTGGAACTTAGCTACTACAAGAGTTTAAAATATTNAAAAATGTAATTGCAAAAGAATATGAAC